ACACAAAGACAACATAAACACGAAGACAACAACACACAAAGACAACATAAACACAAAAACAACATAAACACGAAGACAACAACACACAAAGACAACATAAACACGAAGACAACAACACACAAAGACAACATAAACACGAAGACAACATGTTTGTAGGAACATCAAGCCTGTGGTTCTGATTAAAATATTGAATTTATTTGACTCATTCTTCTAAAAACGAGTGGTGATAAAAACAAAACTGAAGAAGGCCTTAAACCAGTTAAATACTCTAATAATTTTTTCTGTTTCAGAAACTGATCTTAAATAAAAAATATGAAACACTTAAACATAATCTGTGTGTGTGTGTATGTGTCAGGAGGTGCACGGTCTCTGGGGGGAGGTGGAGAAGGAGATAAGGATGAAGAGGACCAGTTTCTCAGAGCTGGACGTCAAACTGAGGGATGTTGAAAAGCGTCGGAGCGACAAGGTCAGACTGACCTTCAGTTTGTTGTCTCTGAGTTCACGTCACTCCGGTAAAATATAAACGTGTGTGAGTGAAGAATAAAACCTGTGGCTGCTGATCTGAGGTCAGGAGGAATGCTAGAGGAGGTCTCAGGTGTAGTTCACATTGTGGCCTGATGGGGGCAGTGTCTGCCCACACTGGCATCAGGAGCGCATCTCAAAGGTTCTGTTCCAACAGGTCTTCAGACACTAACACCTTTAGATGAAGTTCACTTTGAGGATTGTTATTATCTGAACCATTTATCAGCCAAACATTTGGTTCTGATTTTAAACATTCTCACAGATGAAGAAGTTATTGTGAGGTTTAAATCTTTTTATCAAACTGGAGAGCTCAGCTTTTAATAGTTACTCAGCTGATCTGAGGTCAGGCTGTGGTTTTAAGTTTACACTTCTAGAACTGAGCTGCTCGAGGTGGCTGCATGTTGGAGTAGCTCTGTTACATTCATTCTGTTACTCAGCTGATCTGAGGTCAGAGTGTGTTTACTTCCTGTCACAGATCAGAGTTCTTCTCAGGAAACACTGTGGCCTGCTGGAGCAGATCAGCTTCCTGCCTCCACCTCATGTCCACAGACTGATCCATGCTGAGGCCACGGTAATTTCCTGTCACCTCTGACCTTCCTTTCCCTTCATGCCTCTGATGTTACGCTCCTCCTCCTCCTCCTCCTCCTCCTCCTCCTCCTCCTCCTCCTTCTCCTCCTTCTCCTCCTCCTCCTCTTCTGTGTGTTTCAGAAGTTGAATCAGTCTCTGCTGGTGAACCGTTGCAGCAGTGCCCGTCTGCTGCTGTGCCTGCAGGAGCAGAATTTGCAGCAGGAGTCCTCCCTCCATCAGGAGTGGGAGAACGGTCTGGACCTCTGGAGGAGCAGCAGGATCCACGAGACTGTAGATCAGTTCAGGTGGGTAGGATCCTGGTCCTAGTCTGGTCTGGACATGATCAGAACCAGGTGGTGAAAAGGTTTAGACAATCTTTGTACAATGATATTTTTTTTAGCATCAGGATGTGTTTTATGCCTTTCAACTGATCTGGGTTCAGCAGGGTTTGTTTTACAGGGCTGTGTGCAGCAGGGATGAGGTGCAGCAGCTGATCTCTGATCAGCAAAACCAAACCCAGCAAGATCTGATAGAACAGCGTTGTGACATCATCTCCAAGATCTGGTAACAACAAGAACAGATTGTTTTCATTGGCCATGTGACAGATTACAGGCTCCACCCACTATTCTGTCAGACCAATCACACTTCCCCTCTGTATTCCAGCTTACTGGTCCCGCCCACCTGTTCGCCTGCACTGGTTTCTGACTGGTTCGATGAACTGACAGCTGTCAATCAACAGACTGGTATCTGTTTTACAAACCTGTCATCCTGCTGGTGGGAATGGAATTAAGATTGGGTCAGTCCTTGATCCTGGGTCAGTCCCTGATCCTGGGTCAGTCCCTGATCCTGGGTTGGGCCCTGATCAGAGGTTGGTCCTTGATCCAGGATCAGTACCCTGGGCTACCTGATGTTCTGACTCACAGCAGCAGACTGACAGGTCCACTACTCTCAGTGTTTCTAACGGGCTGAGGTTCTGACTGTACGAACTCTGTGTTCAGACCGCCTTCATTCGGACCTCCTCCATCAGCTCAGGTGTTTAAACGAGCAGACGAGGCAGAACCACCTGGCTGCTGTGGAGCGCTGTAAGGTATAGATCTAACCCCAGGTCAGTCTGGACTTTATGTTGGGAGGAGGAGGGTCTACCTGGTGTCAGGTGATGTCAGTTGCTCCTGGAGTAGAACTGGGATTTTGTTCCTATGATTTTAAAGGTGTTTATCTTTACTCAGGTATGACAGGTGGACAGCTACAGTAACTTTCATGAGATGATTTGAGACTTCATTAACTTCTAAAACAAGTCTGACAACATCAGAACGCTCCTACAGAACCTGAACTCTGCTGAAGTAACAAACTGTTCACCTGTCGTCCTGCAGGAGGCGCTCTCAGTACATCAAGTGTCTGACAAACAGGTGGATGACATCATCAACTCTCAGATCCTCCCTCTGATTGGACGACAGCAGAGTCAGGATGACGAACGACTGGCTGCTTTAGAGGTCACATCAAAACCCTACCTGAGATGTTCATCTAAATGTCTACTCTTGACTTGTCTGTCCATCATTTACCTGTCTGTCCACCTGTTTACCTGTCTGTCCACCTGTTAACCTGTCTGTCCGCCTGTTGACCTGTCTGTCCACCTGTTTACCTGTCTGCAGGTGTGCAGTAGCTCTGTTGCCTGTCACGCTGTCAGCATCAGCAGGTATGTTTTTGATGTGATGCGAGCAGCAGCGTTGCTATGGGAGACGCACCGCTGCAGGTTGAAGAGGAGAGAAGAAGAACTGCAGCAACACCTGAATGACATCAGACAGTCACAGCAGCAACGCATACAGGTGAGACCACAAACGGGTGTCAACTGTCAGATGTACCTGAGTCTCAGTAAGGAGCTGTACAGGTGACTACAGTAATCTACAGGTAAGTCAAAGTAATAAGTGGGTCACTCACAGGTGTCAGGTGGTCTTCAGTACCTGACCTGTGAGGGGGTGGGGCTGTTAGTGCCTCTCAGCAGGTGCTCAGTCCCATGATGCTTTGCTGTTTTTCAGAAGAGGACAGCTCGTGTGGACGTCCTGCTGGGGAGACTCCGTCAGGAGAGCAGTAAGGACGCTCTGAATATGTCTCTGGAGAAAACTGTCCAGTCCCTGGAGGACATCGAGGACAGGTAGGACACCTGCTGACTGACTTCAGTCACTGTTTGACAGACAGCTGCTGTTTAAATATTGTTTAATTAAATCAGATAACGGTGTGTGTGTGTGTGTGTGTGTAGCAGCAGCTGCAGACAGTGTGTCACTGATCAGTGGGAGGTTCTGGATCGTCTCCCGGCTCTCCTCATGGAGGAGCTTGTCTCCTACAGCCGCAGTATCTGCTCTTTCTTTAAACTTAGCCCCGCCTACCATCTGGTAACTATGGAAACCAACACCTCCACACACACCTGAGGACAGGTCCCCAGATACCTAATGGCTGTGGAAAGTCCTCCAGTTTGTCCACACAGACAATTTCCTGTCTGTTTCTCCTCAGAGTCCAGAAGTTCTACAGAGCGTCCAACCATCGTCCACCAGAACCACCGAGCTGGACCTGGGTCAGTCTGAATCCAATCCAAACAAACTCAATGACCTCACCTGGTCCACTCTGGTCTGGTCTGGACTGCCTTTTGTTTGTTTGTTTGCGTAGAAACCAGTGGAGAGACTGAAACACTGAAACCAGACCAGACAGCTGAGAAAAACCGGGTCAGCTGTCAGAACCAAAGAGGATCGACCCAAAACTCCCACAAACATCTGTCTGAGGTGAAGCTGATCACTGATCTGCCATCAGTTTGGTTTGGTCCAGAGAACACAGACACAGTGTGTGTGTGTGTGTGTGTGTGTGTGTGTGTGTGTGTGTGTGTGTTCAGGCTGAGTCCTCTCTGCTGCGGCTCTGTGACATCAGCACCATCATCACCTTCACATCCACAGGAGGCACGGTCTATACAGGCCCCGCCTTCAAATGCCCCGCCCCTGACTTGTCCAGCAGCCTGCAGCAGGAAGCACACCTGAGTCTGTTTCCTGCAGATCTGCTCACACATACACTGAGCAGGTATACACACACACACACACACATACACACACACAGAGCAGGTATACACACACACACTGTGCAGGTATACACACACACACTGTGCAGGTATACACACACACTGAGCAGGTATATACACACTGTGCAGGTATACACACACACTGAGCAGGTATACACACACACTGAGCAGGTATACACACACACACACACACACACACACACTGAGCAGGTATACACACACACTGAGCAGGTATACACACACACTGTACAGGTATACACACACACACTGAGCAGGTATACACACACACTGTGCAGGTATATACACACACTGAGCAGGTATACACACACTGTGCAGGTATACACACACACTAAGCAGGTATACACACACACACACACTGTGCAGGTACACACACACACTGAGCAGGTATACACACACACACTGTGCAGGTATACACGCACACTGAGCAGGTATATACACACACACTGAGCAGGTATACACACACACTGTGCAGGTATACACACACTGTGCAGGTATACACACACACTGAGCAGGTATACACACACACTGTGCAGGTATACACACACACTGAGCAGGTATACACACACACACACTGTGCAGGTATACACACACTGAGCAGGTACACACACACACACTGAGCAGGTATACACACACACTATGCAGGTATACACACACTGAGCAGGTATACGCACACACACACACACACACACACACACACACACACACTGTGCAGGTATACACACACACTGAGCAGGTATACACACACACACACACTGAGCAGGTATACACACACACACTGAGCAGGTATACACACACTGAGCAGGTATACACACACACACACACTGTGCAGGTATACACACACACACACACACACTGAGCAGGTATACACACACACTGAGCAGGTATACACACACACACTGAGCAGGTATACACACACACACTGTGCAGGTATACACACACTTGTCTTTGGTTCAGTGACGTCATCACAGGGACTCACATTTGACTGTATGTGCTGGACATCCAGGACTCGGACTCTGATTCTGGACCACCTGGAGCAGAACTTCCAGGACCTCCTCAGCTCCTCGGTTACCATGGTAACAAGCAGGAAGGAGGCCGTTCGTTTGGAGCAGGAGCTCCAGCTGCAGCAACTGAAACCAGAATACATTCGGACCCACATATATGAGCCCCGCTTGGGTAACACACACATGCACACGCACGAACACACACACGCAATGTCAGCCTCAGGTCACTCCTATGTGTTCTAACTTCTGTGTTTTGTGTGTGTGTGTGTTCAGCTGAGCTGCAGCTCCATCAGCAGCGAGTGGACGTCCACTGTCAGGAAATGTTGGACGTTCTGTCCTCCTGCAGGACTGAGCAGCAGCAGCTGCAGATATCCACAAGCAGTCAGAACCAGAACCTCCTCCTGACCCTGTCCAACATGGAGGAGGAGGTCCAGGAGGCGAACAGTGTCAGAAGGTAAGAACTGACCAGTGATCATCTGACTGCACCTCAGAGCGTCTGACCTTTGACCTCCTGTGGTCTGTGTCCAGGCTGGAGGCCCTTGGCTCCGCCCTGCAGGACTGTCTGGACCGGCACGTCAAAGAGACTCAGCGCTGCCGGGCTCGTTTCAGACACTCGGTCCAGTCCAGACTCAAGGAGGGCGGAAGAAGAACCGCAGAGCTCCTGGGCTCCTTCAGGTGGTTCACCTATAGAACAGAGAGGTGCAGGCTGAGTAGAACCCGTCCTGACCCGAGGTTCTCCTCCTGCAGGATGTTCAGTGAAGGAGGAGACTTTACTCCTCACGAGGTCAAGATGTTTCAGAAGAGACTGAAGGAGGAGACCAAACGAGTCAGTGGAACCGTGGAGTCCATCTACGCCGAACTGGAGCTCTTTGAGTCCAGGAGTCTACAACAGGTGCGTCTCCATGACGACGGCCCGTCAACAACAAAAACAAGAGCATGTTTGTTATCAAAGATCCAGATGAGGATCATCTGAGCAGGCTTCTGTAGACCGACCCGTCCTGTCCATCCATTTATTTATTGTTTACCTGCTGCAGGTGAGGGAGGCGTCGGCTCGTGTGGAGGGAAAACTTTCTGCTCTGAAGGCTGAGATGGAGTTCACCGAGAAGATCGAGAAAATAATCAGGAGCGCACAGATTCAGATCAAGACTGAGGTCTGTCTCTATGTGTCCATCTGTCTGTCCCTGTCTGTGTCCACATTACCTAGTTTTTGTCCCACAGGCGGCCAGCAGTAACCAGCAGCAGTCTGTGATCAGCAGCAGGTTGGAGGACATCAAGAGGACAATGGGCAACAAACAGGTAAACAGTCCATGTCTATCTTCACTCTGCAGCAGAAGAGCTGCTCTGGATGTCAGAACCAGAACCGAACCAGGATCAGAACCCTTCAGACCAGAAACCAGCTGGAGTTCAGATCAAAGAGATCAGAGGATGAAGTTCTGATCGCAGCAGAACTGAACATGTTCTGCTGCTCCAAGTCCATCTGTGGGTTAACAAACAGTAAACAAAACAACAGACTGTGTTGACTGACAGTGATCAAAATAACAACAGTGCTAACAAACAGTAAACAAATCTAGTGTTGACTGACAGTGATCAAAATAACAACAGTGCTAACAAACAGTAAACAAATCTAGTGTTGACTGACAGTAAACAAAACAACAAACAGGGTTGACAGACATTAAACAAAATAACAACAGTGTTAACAAACAGTAAACAAATAAACAAACAGTGTTGACAGACAGTAAACAAAATAACAACAGTGTTAACAAACAGTAAACAAAACAACAAACAGTGTTAATAGACAGTAAACAAAACAACAAACAGTCTTAACAGACGGTAAACAAAACAACAACAGTGTTAATAAACAATAAACAAAACAACAAACAGTCTTAACAGACAGTAAACAAGACAACAGTGTTAACAAACAGTAAACAAAACAACAAACAGTCTTAACAGACAGTAAACAAAACAACAAACAGTGTTGACAGACAGTAAACAAAAAAGAAACACATTCTTTGTAGTTTTGTTTACTGTTTTGTTAACACTGTTTTTTGTTTGTTTACAGTTTGTTTTTGTTTACTGTGTGTCAAACTGTTGTTTGTTTACTGTTTCTCAACATTGTTGTTGTTTTGTTTATTGTTTATTAGCACTGTTTGTTGTTTGTTTACTGTATGTTGTTTTGTTTACTGTTTGTCAACATTGTAGTTCAGTTTACTATTTGCTAACACTGTTTTTGGTTTTGTTTACAGTTTGTCAACACTGTTTGTTGTTTGTTTACTGTTTGTTGTTTAGTTTATTGTCTGTCAACACAGTTTGTTGTTTTGTTTACAGTTTGTCAACACAGTTTGTTGTTTTGTTTACTGTTTGTCAGCACTGTTGTTACTTTGTTTACTGTCTGTCAACACAGTTTGTTGTTTTGTTAACTGTTTGTCAACACGGTTGTTGTTTTGTTTACTGTTTGTCAATATGGTTGTTGTTTTGTTTACTACTTGTTAATACAGTTTGTTGTTTTGTTTACTGTTTGTCATCAATCTTGTTATTTTGTTTACTGTTTGTCAACACTGTTGTTGTTTTGTTTACTCTTTGTTAACACAGTTTGTTGTTTTGTCAGCTCTTCCTCTGAGACTATTTTTGTTTTGAAAAATTATTTTATACTAAAAATCTTCTGTTGTTTTACTGTTAAGTTAGTTACAGGTGGGTTCTGGTTCTGTCCTTCCCCAGGTGTCTCCAGTTTCTGGTCCTGTCTCTCTGCAGGTGTCTCAAGT